GTGCCCCGAGGAGGCGGGTCTACGTAGCAGTTAAGCCAATTGCTAATTTAAGATATGAATGTATGACATAAAATGTAGTCAATAAGCGATCTTAAATCGAATCCAAGGAGGGCGATTATTTTATCGCCCCAAGCTCGCCCCTGATAAAATAAGGACCGGGGTCCAGTGACGCCATTTTTACTAGACAACAATGGCGAACGCAAACGTTACTCCTCCAAGACCCAACCCTAACTCGGTGAAATCTCTCCTCCAAGATCCGTTTGAGAGGAGAACTTTGTCAGAGAAAGTTCGGGTGAAAGAGCTGGGCCCAGATCAACCTGACCTCTCAATCAGACAGCAGGCTAGCGAGAAAGGGAAGCAGTATATGCGCGGCTTCTCCCGTAGCTGGTACACCAGGAAGGCTTGGCTAGCTGGGTGCACTGATGCTAATGCTTTATTTTGCTTTCCGTGCTTGCTTTTTAAAACGACGGGGTCAGATTCAGCATGGACAGGTACCGGAGTGAGGGATATGAAGCACCTGTCAGAGAAGGTAAAGAAACATGAGAACACCAGGGCACACATGGACAACTCTGTAAAGCTAGCTGTATTAGGAAGGGTGAACATTGCTACGCAGCTGGATGACGGCCACAGGATTGCGGTGAGGAAACACAATGAGGAGGTGGATAAAAACAGGCACATTCTATCCAAAATTATCGATTGTGTGAAGTTCTGTGGGGCTTTTGAGTTGGCCTTGCGTGGGCACGAGGAGACTGACTCCTCAGACAACCCCGGCATTTTCCGGGGCTTAGTGGATTTTGTTGCCTCCCTCGACAGTGTGCTGGAGGAGCACCTGAAGACAGCTACCGTTTTTAAGGGCACGTCAAAGACGATACAGAACGAGCTGTTGGACTGTATGCTGTCAATGCTTAAGGATTACATCCTGGAGGAAGTAAAGAGTGCTGATTTTATCGCCATTCAAGCTGACGAGACGACTGACGTTTCCACCCACTGCCAGTTGGTGCTTGTGTGAGTGATTATCATAGAGCCGTCACAATTATATTTGTTTTAGTATTTTAAAAGGAAAGAGAAGACACAATCAGACGTTGATAATAATGCAGGAAAGTACTACACAGTTTGTAATAATTATTCAGGTGTCCACCAGGTCAATTTCTAGAAGAGGCCTAGTTGTTATTGAATATTAACTTTATTGCTAAGTGAACAGCAGAACAAAATGATGTTGCATCCCTCTCACAAATGTAATAGAAAAAGGCTTTAAAACGTAATATCATCAGTTAATTATGTACATCACAGGTTAAAAGCAGTTACTAGACATAGTTTGTGTGTATATACACACTGTCTGTCTGTCTGTCTGTCTATATATATATAAAAGTCACTGGTTGTGTGTTGAGGGGGAATTACAGTGAGTTAAGAAGTCTGATTGCAAGTTATCAAATTAAACTTTATTTTTTGGACCCAGGGCCTCAATTCCCTCTTTGTGTGGGCACAGCGTATCTGACGAGCAGCAACAGCCCATCAAGCGACGGAGGATGCTGGGACCAGGAGAACAACAGAGGTTGGCTATAGAGGTAAGTTGTGATGTAATTGTCAGTGTTTCCCACCTAGAACTTTTTTCAGGCCTGGTAGTATGTAGCCAAAACCCTGAACAATCAGCACCTTGGTAATCATATACTTGAGTTGGACATAGGCATGTGTCAGTCAGGATCACTTGCATCAAAATAGCTTAATTGCAAATTAAAGCTGATGATGTATCTTTTACAGGTATGTGATACCATCCTGAGTCATGCCAAAGAGAGGTTCTCCTTCACCCAGCACCTCATCAGCGCAACACTATTGCACGGAGAGTTGTTCCCACAACACAGTGTGAAGTTCCCCGATACAGCGCTTGAAACAACCGTGGAGGCGTACCCCATGTTGAACAAGGCCAAGCTCAAAACCGAACTGTCCCTCATCTATGAGAACAGTGAGTTCAAGGCTTGTAGTGGTGCAGTGCCCCTGTACCAGTTCTTCATGGAGAACAACCTTCAGAGCACTTTCACAGAGACTGCCAGCCTCCTCAAGATCCTCATCACCACACCCATGACAACTGCTGAGTCAGAATGGTGCTTCTCTACACTGAAAAGGATCAAGACCTTCCTGAGAAACAGCATGACACAGGATCGCCTGAACGCTCTGGCCATGCTCTCCATGGAGAAGAAACTTGTCAGGGACATTCCTGACTTTAATCAAAGGGTCATTGAGAGGTTTGCCACTCAGAAGGACAGACGGGCAAAATTCCTGTACAAATAAGATGACAGACACACACACACAGAGCAGCTCTGGCCGCATGTTTCTTTGTATATAGTTGACCTTAGCATAAAAAATCCAGTTATATATGGTACTCTAGAAAGTCTTAATAGTGTCTTTGCTAATATTACTGTATATAGGTTGTTTTGTATCAATTAATTGTTGCAGTTCTGGAGCACATTAACAATTAGTCACATTTAGTATGATCATAAAATACTGTATGCTATTCTTCCAGTCAAAGGTTTGAGTTCATCCACTTGATATCCATTTCTATATTATACATCCTTTTATACAGTGTAAGATTTCCTATAAACTTTATAATAATTTCATGTTATTGTCCACTTTCCACTCTGTTCTGACAGCATGCCTGTTGCGTTGCCTGTTTACTACCAATGGTGAAAAGTTCACTTTAAATGCAAATGAAAGGCTTGGGTTTGTGTAATATGTTTTTGTGTAAGAATGCCTCAACTTTTTAATATTGGCATTAAATAATTACTGAATGTTTCACTGAGCACTGCTGTCCTGCAGTTTGTGTTAAAATATATCGCGATGGTTACAGGAAAAAAAAAGTATGGCACAGCCCCACCGAGAATATTTTTCACCAGCCGCCACTGATAATAACCATCATATCGAAGTAAACTTGTGAGTCACACGATGAAATTGTGTGGTCCTCCCAGTACGACTCGTCAGGAAAGCGTGCAGTTTATTAGGCTACAGAATAAAGAAGTTAGGAACTTCACAGGGTGGTGAAAGTGCAAGGTGATGAGCTTGAAGCGCCTTTCCAATACAGATTGAGCCTTTCCAATACATATCGAGGGTCTTATTCTGGTGACATGATCATCGATGCTTTGCTGCCTTGCCTATTGACAAATAGCATAAAAAATGGTAGGAAAATATTCCTTGGTCACATTTCTCTGAATGGCAGGCTACCATTGCTCCTGTAAGTCGCTCTGGTTAAGAGCGTCTGCTAAATGACTAAAATGTAAATGTAAATGATGTTCGATTTGGTGATGTATCAGAAACAAAGAGACACTCCTACCTCTAGTCCCTAACTTTTTAAATCCCATCACACACTGTCCTAATGTGACATATTGGTTTTGTATTGTCTGCTGTGATGTCGTTGCTCATGTGGCGAAGTCCCTCTGTGATGCCACCTGTTCTCAGAAGGGAAGACCATGTCCTTCAGGATGACCTACCCAGTGTTGCCAACTCCTCAGTAAGGAAAGTAGCTATTGGCTGTCCTAAAAGTCGCTAAATGACGTCATCACCTAATTTGCATAATTGGCCATGTGCATGTAATTGCGATGGAGCTGTAGGAGAGAGGAATAACGTCGTGGGAGAGACAAAAAGTGAGTAAAAACACCCTACATTTACATCCTGCCCTGAATGTAAGCTAGGGCGAGATCAGCCAGCGGCGGCTTCCCGCATGCGCAATTCATTTGCAGTCTGGACGCGGAGGGGTGAACATCTCCTGCTCTGACTGCAGCTGGGAGGGACTGCTGCGCGAGGACTGGGCCGCCTGTGGGTGCTTTGGGACGGGGCTGCTCGTTGAGAAGAGTAAGAACGATACGTGCTTTCACATCAGAGTCTCCAAAAGTCTCCAATAACACCAGAAAAAGTCGCTAGATTTGTCGCTAGTCGCTTTAAAAAAAAATTGTCGCTAGAGGGGTCTGAAAACTCGCTAAATATAGCGACAAAGTCGCTAAGTTGGCAACACTGGACCTACCAGCCAACCAGCTCCCTCCCATAGGAACCCATTGGGTGACATAACCTATCAGCCAACCAGCTCCCCTCCTATAGCCACCTACTCACACTGTGACATCATGAAAACTCATCTAACAAGCTTTGAGTGCAGAGCATACTAATAAAGAAAACTACTGGTACCCCAATATCTTTGAGCAATAAAAAATGTATCCTAAATGGGAACAATGGTAATACTTTTCACAAAGAATCTTTGTTAAATGTCATTACTACAGGGGCGGCAGGTAGCTTAGTGGTTAAGAGCGTTGTGCCAGTAACCGAAAGTTCGCTGGTTCTAATCCCCGAGCCGACTAGGTGAAAAATCTGTCGATGTGCCCTTGAGCAAGGCACTTCACCCTAATTGCTCCTGTAAGTTGCTCTGGATAAGAGCGTCTGCTAAATGACTAAAAATAAATAAAAGCTGCAATGGCTTTCAGTAAAACTAGTCAGAACGGACAGCACTATATTTATGAGTAGTGCAGAAGATGTGCAGTCCTTGAGTTTGTTTAGGGCAGAAATTGTTGCTTTGTCTTGTTAAATGACATTTGGTTTCTGTGTATATTGGCACCACATTTATATTTAGTCTACGACTTCTTTTCTAGCTGGATGGTTTTATTTATTTGCTTACAGTATTAATTATTCATCACAAACATTAATTGAAGCTTTGATTCAGTCTTGGCTCGTATTACAGGACAAATTAAAATAATTTATTCAACGTTACTATCAGTAACGTTGTTAGTGTTCAACAATCCAAGGTTTTTTCCTTGTTTACTTCTCCATAGTACACTTTAATTCAGTACATCACAGATAAGTAGCAAGAATAAAGTGTCAACTTCTGACGTCAAATGCATTTGGTGATTTGCAAGTAATAAAACATTTATAAAATCTGTATTTTTAATTTTTTTTAGCTGATGCAAAGGATAAAGGCCTATGGAGCAGCCTTTCTCTGCTCTGGGTGATCTGATTCTGATCCTTCATTTGAATGTGAGCCAGCGTTTAGGGTTGTCTATGAGGATCTTGTCCACCTGGGTCTGGTTGATCCCTCTAATCAGCATCTTGGGCACAATGTTCTTCAGGATGTGCGAGTAGCCATGGCCTCCGTACTTGGTGAGACGGTTCTTGGTGTGGATGTCGTGGGCGATGACGATGTTGTCCTCATATCCCTCCTGGACCAGGAATGCCAAGCTAGAGAGGGTGTGTTGTACACACACACAGCCATGCACGCACACACACACACACACACATCAAAACAGATCCATGGGTGTTATTTCACTTTTTACATTTGGTAAAGTATCGTGAAGAAGATACAGACAACCAAATTGCCCTAGTTTAGCTGTGGTTGTCTAGTAGGTAGTTTTGTAGCAACATAAAGAGCACTCACGCCTTGACTCTCTGGCTGTCACTGGGCATGTCCACCTCCAGGTTATAGGCATAGTTCAGCATCTCTGATCCAAACAGGTCGTATTCCAGGTAACTCCCCATCTTAGCAAACTCCAGCAGGTCTCCATTGTCAAATATGGTCCTGTGTTAGAAAAAAACCCATAAATAATTTACAGTCACTCATCACTGAAGCTACCTTTGAGCTATCAGCAGATTAAACATCTCCACAATAAGCATTCATACATTCCTGAACAGCTACAGTGCATTCGGAAAGTATTCAGACCCCTTCACTTTTTCCACATTTTGTTACAGCCTTATTCTAAAATGGATTACTTTTTTATTAAATTTTTTTATTTACACACTATACCCCATAATGAAAAAGATAAAATTTTACAAATATACACTGCCGTTCAAAAGTTTGGGGTCACTTAGAAATGTCCTTGTTTTCGAAAGAAAAGCAATTTTTATGTCCATTAAAATAACATCAAATTGATCAGAAATACAGTGTAGACATTGTTAATGTTATAAATCGCTATTGTAGCTGGAAACGGCTGATTTTTAATGGAATATCTCCATAGGCGTACAGAGGCCCATTATCAGCAACCATCAGTTCTGTGTTCCAATGGCACGCTGTGTTTGCTAATCCAAGTTTATCATTTTAAAAGGCTAATTGATCATTAGAAAACCCATTTGCAATTATGTTAGCACAGCTGAAAACTGTTGTGCTGATTAAAGAAGCAATAAAACTGGCCTTCTTGAGACTAGTTGAGTATCTGGAGCATCAGCAATTGTGGGTTCGATTACAGGCTCAAAATAGCCAGAAACAAATAACTTTCTTCTGAAACTCGTCAGTCTATTCTTCTTCTGAGAAATGAAGGCTCAATTAGCCTTTTAAAATGATAAACTTGGATTAGCAAACACAACGTGCCATTGGAACACAGGACATTTCTAAGTGACCCCAAACATTTGAACGGTAGTGTATATTTAATTTTTTAAAAGAAATACCTTATTTACATAAGTATTCAGACCCTTTCTATGAGACTTGAAATTGAGCTCAGGTTCATCCTGAGTCCTGCCACCCCTCCATTCCAGTCTGGGTCCTGAAAGCTCTCACCTATCCAGGTGTGACATAACGGTCTTGCTGATGTCACCTCCAGCTTCCTGCAGGAGACGGACTATCTCAGCCGGTGCACCAGGGTTCCGTCCCGGGTGGATGATGACTGGGCAGCCCAGCTCGGTCTGAGCGTGTGCAGTGGCTTGCAACACTTTCTTCTCACTGTCCGTGATTGGCCAGCTGCAGCCAATCTCTCCAATCACACCGCAGCGGATCTCGGTCCCATCCGCCCCGTGGAGAACCTCACTGATGATGATGTCTGTGAGCTGGAGAGAGATGTCGGGTGTTAGTCAGGGGAGGGAGAGGTAGACAATGGACACAAACTGACCATAGCTCCCTCTGGTGGGAGACAGCTGACCAAATCCACTTGGATACATCTTACTGAGACAGGGCTTCTACAAATGAGCCAGTATACCTTCACACAGACACAAACTACCATAAACCTCCCCTACCTTCTCCACGGTCATCTTCCTGGTGGCCTCAGAGTGGGTGGCGTCCACATAGTACCCCGCCCCTCCTATGATGTGGACGCCCGTATCCTTGGCCAGCTGTTTGAGGCAGGGCAGATCCCGGGCGATACCCTGGGTAGTGTTTTCTACGATGGTTCCCCCTCCTTCCTTTCGGTACTCATGCAGCTCTTCACGCACGGCACTGGTCTCCTGCAGCAGCAGAAGGTTCTCATGGCTAAAGAAGAAGAAGAAAAACAAAAATAATAAGAAGACCATTGTCACAGAGATTTGTCTTTTGGCTTCAGCCTGAACAGGTTCTAGACTACAGGCTGTTACAGGTTTTAGACTACCTGCTGTATGGTTCTAGAAATCTGCCTGCTGTTAGGGTTCTAGACTACACTGAGTGTACAAAACATTAAGAACACCTGCTCCTTCCATGACAGACTGACCAGGTTAATCCAGGTATAAAGCTATGATCCCTTATTGATGTCACTTGTTAAATCCACTTCATTCAGTGTAGATGAAGGGGAGGATATAGGTTAAAGAAGGATTTTTAAGCCTTGAGACAATTGAGACATGGATTGTGTATGTGTGCCATTCAGAGGGTGAATGGGCAAGACAAAATACTTAAGTGCCTTTAAATGGGGTACGGTAGTAGGTGCCAGACACACCTGTTTGTGTCAAGAACTGGAATGCTGCTGGGGTTTTCACACTCAACAGTTTTCTGTGTATATCAAGAATGGTCCACCACCCAAAGGACATCCAGCCAACTTGACACAACAGAGGGAAGCATTGGAGTCAACATGGGCCAGCATACCTGTGGAACGCTTTCGACACCATGTAGAGTCCATGCCCAGACGAATTGAGGATGTTCTGAAAGGCAAAGGGGGGGGGGTGCAACTACACTTTAGGAAGGTGTTCCTAATGTTTGATATACTTAATGTATTTGCTCTAAAGGTTAAAGACTGCCTGCCGTGACAGGTTTTAGACTAACGCTGTAAGGGTTCTAGATGACCTGCTGTATGGGTTCTAGACTACACTCCCCTCCATATTTGGACAGTGAAGCACATTTTTTACATTTGGCTCTATACTCCAGCATTTTGATTTGATATTAAATGTTTCATATTGAGCAACAGTACAGAATGTAACCTTTTATTTGAGGGTCTTTTCATACCCATCTGTTTTACCGTTTAGAAATGATAGCACTTCATGAATCTATTCCCCCTCATGGGAAGAAGTCAAGTATTTGGACAAATTCACATAGTTTATCAGAGTAGTCAAAAGTTTAGTATTTGGTCCCATATTTCTTGCACGCAGTGAATACATAAAGGTTGTGACAATACAAACTCGTTGGATGCATTTAAAGTTTGTTTTGGATTATGTTTTGCCCAATAGTAACTGAATGGTGAATGATGACTGTAGGGCCCTATAAAATCTGCGTTGTGGAGAACACGGACTGAAACACAGAATCCAGACATTAAAACAGAATTCAACAATATTCAAAAATGTATTGAACTTAGTAGGAAATCAACTAAATGTATTGAACTTATTAGAAAATGTATTAATTTGCCCAAGTTAATCACAAGACATTAACAAAATGCATCAGTAACTGGTACTTTTCTGCAACTTTCTGAAAGGGCATAAGAATGCTCCTGTATGTGTCACACTTTGTGTAGCCATTAGCGAAGATGCTAATGATAGCCATCTTCTTGTAGAGATGGAAAGTAGTGATACGTGGGTCAGCTGTTTGTTCACCAACACACTTATGTATGCAATTGCTAATAATCCATCCACAACCGCAATACTATATGTGATAAAGTAAAAATCTGAGGCCCGCACCTGACCCTAACCCGCAAATATATAAACTGCGCTGTACGATCTGAGATGGCGTAACCATTTTTTTTCCTGCTTAGAATTTCCCACATTTTGGTAGGCTATTTGTTAGTCAACTTTTATATAATTAGATACAGTGCATTCGGAAAGTATTCAGACCCATTGACTTTTTCCACATTTTGTTACATTACAGCCTTATTCTAAAATGGATTAAATAGTTTTTTCCCCCCTCATCAATCTACACACAATAGCCCATAATGACAAATTAAAAACAGGTTTTTAGATCCTCTCAAGCTCTGTCAGGTTGAATGGGGAGCGTCGCTGCACAGCTATTTTCAGGTCTCTCCAGAGATGTTCAAGTCCGGCTCTGGCTGGGCCACTCAAGGACATTCAGAGACTTGTCCCAAAGCCACTCATGCGTTGTCTTGGCTGTGTGCTTAGGGTCGTTGTCCTGTTGGCAGGTGAACCTTCGCCCCTGTCTGAGGTCTTGAGCGCTCTGGAGCAGGTTTTCATCAAGGATCTCTCTGTACTTCGCTCCGTTCATCTTTCCCTCGATCCTGACTAGTCTCCCAGTCCCTGCCGCTGAAAAACATCCCCACAGCATGATGCTGCCACCACCATGCTTCACCGTAGGGATGGTGCCAGGTTTCCTCCAGAAGTGACGCTTGGCATTCAGGCCAAAGAGTTCAATCTTGGCTTCATCAGACCAGAGAATCTTGTTTCTCATGGTCAGAGTCCTCTAGCTCCCTTTTGACAAACTCCAAGCGGGCTGTCATGTGCCTTTTACTGAGGAGTGGCTTCCATCTGGCCACTCTACCATAAAGGCCTGATTGGTGGAGTGCTGCAGAGATGGTTGTCCTTCTGGAAGGTTTTCCCATCTCCACAGCGAAACTCTGGAGCTCTGTCAGTGACCATCGGGTTCTTGGTCACCTCCCTGACCAAGACCCTTCTCCCTTGATTGCTCACTTTGGCCGGGCGGCCAGCTCTAGGAAGAATCTTGGTGGTTCCAAACTTCTTCCATTTAAGAATGATGGAGGCCACTATGTTCTTGGGGTCCTTAAATGCTGCAGACATTTTTTGGTAAGCTTCCCCAGATATGTGCCTCGACACATTCATGTCTCTGCGCTCTACGGACAATTCCTTTGACCTCATGGCTTGGTTTTTGTTCTGACATGCACTGTCAACTGTGGGACCTTATATAGACAGGTGTGTGCCAATCATGTCCGATCAATTGAATTTACCACAGCTATAGACTCCAATCAAGTTGTAGAAACATCAAGGATGATCAATGGAAACAGGATGCACCTAGCTCAATTTCGAGTCTCATAGCAAAGGGTCTGAATACTTATGTAAATAAGGTATATTTTTTATATATATATAAATTAGCAAACAAAAAAAAACAGATTTCGCTTCGTCATTATGGGGTATTGTCTGTAGATTGATGAGGAATAGGTTTTATTTAATCCATTTTAGAATAAGGCTGTAACGTAACAAAATTTGGAAAAAGTGAAGGGGTCTGAATACTTTCCAAATGCACTGTACATGCAGCTTCTCTTCTGTCATTACTTGTTGCCCTAGAATACTAAATAAACCCTTGCAACATTTACCTGGAGCTAACGCTGCAGATAGCAAGATCGGGTGATTTGAAAAGTCATAGTCAATCGATCAATGTTTATCTTTAATTTACAATCTATAGAAACTATGAGAATAGAAAGGTTCAGAACTTTTGTGAAGCATCACAGCACAGTTGAAAAATATATGTCAAATAGAAATCCAATATGGATGGTGTTAAGAGATAGATGGGAGGGGTTGAATGGAGCTGAACGGTGGGACTAATAACAACAAGATAAATGTAAAATATACTGTGTCTGTAAAATGTATTAGGATCAGAACTTTTGTGAAACAGCACAGTTAAAAATATATGGCAAATAGAAATCAAACTGGATGGACATCAGAAAAAGATGGGAGAGGTTGAGGGTAGAGGAAGGACAGGACTAAAAACAAATAAAATATAACTATTGTAAAATAGATTGTGTCCGTAAAATGTATATAGTATGTATAAACTGGAAGTAGAAGCCTAAGTGTTGTTATTCATTAGTTTACTCCAATTAGGGAAGGGGTGGTAGGATTAGCGGAAAATAATAAAGGAAAATATATACAAAAATATATGTGCAAAATTTCCAAATGTCATCAGTTTGACCGGTTTTAAGGAAATAAAAAGCTGTTAAAATGATCCAACATGTTTTTGATAACATTTCAGTTTGGCTTGGATGCAAATTTTATTGGTTGAAATACTAGGCCTATCAGCTTCTAGGATGCTGATAAAGATAGCACCGCCACCTTTACAGACGGTCCCTAACCGCACATTCTTTCTCTCAAGATGCTGAAAGAAATCAATCATATTTCGCCATTTTAAGTCCCCATCCTGTGACTGTTGAATTTTTATAGCATTTTTGCATATACTACTAAAGTTAAAAAGGTATTGCTAAAGTTAAAAAGCATTAGATTGGTATAAACATGGGCGACAGCGAATTTCCTTCCACCATATTTTTTGCACCAGTCTCTGCGCTATTCCTTTTAAATCCAAGTCACATTGTGGCCGACGTCTTTCATACGCACGCCTTTCCTACGGACTCCTCAGTATTTGGTATTCAGACTTATTAGGCCGCGTAACGTGATCTGCAGGTGTGGCTACCTTGCTGGCGCTGAATACATTTAATTCAACTGCTGAAAGCCCTCCCACTTGCTGGCAAACAGATTTTGTTGTGGAGTTTTCATTCAATAGGGTTTTCAGTACATTTATCTTTTGCCATCCCTTTAAATACGGTTTTACCTTTTAGTTCGAATTTTGTCGACAGACTCACTAGAATATATCGAGAGAACGGGTTCTGAATATTAGGGATCAATGAAAGAAATCCATCGAAATAAAATCTCAGTTTTCAGATTTTAAAATACTCTGATCTTGTAGATTATTTAGGTTTAGGAAAGTATTTATGAATCATAAAAAATTGATGATTAATGGTCCATTAAAATAACATCAAATTGATTAGAAATACAGTGTAGACATTGTTAATGTTGTAAATCGCTATTGTAGCTGGAAACGGCTGGTTTTTTATTACATTTACATTTACATTTTAGTCATTTAGCAGACGCTCTTATCCAGAGCGACTTACAGTTAGTGAGTGCATACATTATTTTTTTCATACTGGCCCCCCGTGGGAATCGAACCCACAACCCTGGCTCTACCAACTGAGCTACATCCCTGCCGGCCATTCCCTCCCCTACCCTGGACGACGCTGGGCCAATTGTGCGCCTCCCCATGGGTCTCCCGGTCGTGGCCGGCTACGACAGAGCCTGGATTCGAACCAGGATCTCTAGTGGCACAGCTAGCACTGCGATGCAGTGCCTCAGACCACTCCATGATTCCATATGTGTTATCCAATTTGATTTCCTTACCCTGTAAGCAGTCTATGGACAACGTATGACAGCAATCCATGCCTTGGTTGTATATCCCAGGCACGGCATAAATTCCATGTAAGTTATGGAACCGATATTAGCATTATTGCGCACCATGTCCACATCATCAGAAAGTATCTAAAATAAATTCTGAAGCTCATCAAAGTCACTTATTGATGATTTTAAGATGATGCGCAAAAAATGCTAATATCGGTCCCATGACTTGGATGGGATTTGTGCCACAAATGCATTTGGAAAGTGCCAGGGAATCTAAACCAAAGCATGGATTGCTGTCATGCCTTGTCCATAGACTGCTTACAGGGTAAGGAAACCAATTTGTCATTTTGTCATTTGGGTGAACTCTACATTTAAACCTAACCTATGACCTGATCCATCACCTTGGATATTTCTGCCTCCCAGTTGCAAAAAACCAAAATAACTTTGCAACACAAATAGCTTCTAGCCTCCTACGCATGCTTTCTGTCCGTAACACTAAAACTGAAACTAAATAATATTAAAACTAAATATACAGCCCCAGTCAAAAGTTTGGACACATCTACTCATTCAAGGGTTTTTCTTTATTTTCACAATTTTCTAGATATATTTTCTAGGGTGGCTACATTAAAGAATCTCAAATATAAAATATATTTTGATATGTTAAACACTTTTTTGGTTACTCCATGATTCCATATGTGTTATTTAATAGTTTTGATGTCTTCACTATTATTCTACAATGTAGAAAATAGTACAAAATAAAGAAAAACCCTGGTATGAGTAGGTGTTTCCAAACCTTTGACTGGTACTGTAAACTTATAATCCTCATAGCCTACATGTTGTTATTTTTCCGTAAAAGCACAATGTGTATGAAACGTTGAATTTGGTCATTTTGTGTAACTTCAGTTGTCTAGTCAAGAAAGCATCATGCTAAATATATTGGCACACTCCACTTACCAACACCATTGCCAGATAAGGCGTGCTGTCACCTACTTTTATAGTAAGGCCTGAGGTGGTACCACCCAGCACATCTAAAAGGGAGTGTATTTCATACCGAACCCCTCCCTTGAGATGACGTAGAGGCACCTTGCACCTTCTCAAGGTGCCTCTACATCATGATTTCAATGGTGGAGTTGAAACGATAGGGGCAAAAAGAGCTACAGTGCATTCGGAAAGTATTCAGACCGCTTCCCTTTTTCCACATTTTGTTATGTTACAGCCCTATTTTAAAATTGATGAAATAATTTTTTCCCCCTCAATCTACACACAATACCCCATAATGAGAAAGCGAAAACAGGTTTTTAGAAATGTTTGCAATTTATTTATTTTTAAATACAGAAATACCTTATTTACATAAGTATTCAGACACTTTGCTATGAGACTAGAAATTGAGCTCAAGTGCATCCTGTTTCCATTGATCATCCTTGAGATGTTTCTACAACTTCATTGGAGTCCACCTGGGGTAAATTCAATTGATTGACATGATTTGGGAAGGCACACACATGTCTATATAAGGTCCCACAGTTGACGGTGCATGACAGAGCAAAAACCAAGCCATGAGGTCAAAGGAATTATCCGTAGAGCTCAGAGACAGGATTGTGTCGAGGCACAGATCTGGGGAAGGGTACCAAAAAATGTCTGCAGCATTGAAGGTCCCCAAGAACACAGTGGCCTCCATCACTCTTAAATGGAAGAAGTTTGGAACCACAAAGACTCTTCCTAGAGCTGGCCGCCCAGCCAAACTGAACAATCGTGGGGAAGGGCCTTGGTCAGGGAGGTGACCAAGAACCCGATGGTCACTGACAGAGATCCAGAGTTCCTCTGTGGAGATGGGAAAACCTTCCAGAAGGACAACCATCTCTGCAGCACTCCACCAATCAGGCCTTTATGGTAGAGTTGCCAGACGGAAGCCACTCCTCAGTAAAAGGCACATGACAGCCCACTTGGAGTTTGCCAAAAGGCACCTAAAGGACTCTCAAGACCATGAGAAACAAGATTCTCTGGTCTGATGAAACCAAGATTGAACTCTTTGGCCAGAATGCCAAGCGTCACCACTGGAGGAAACCTGGCACCATCCCTACGGTGAAGCATGGTGGTGGCAGCATCATGCTGTGGGGATGTTTTTCAGCAGCAGGGACTGGGAGACTAGTCAGGATTGAGGGAAAGATAAATGGAGCAAAGTACAGAGAAATCCATGATGAAAACCTGCTCCAGAGCGCTCAGGACCTCAGACTGGGGCGAAGGTCCACCTTCCAACAGGACAATGACCCTAAGCACTCAGCCAAAACAACGCAGGAGTGGCTTTGGGACAAGTCTCTGAATGTCCTTGAGTGGCACAGCCAGAGGCCGGACTTGAACCCGATCGAACATCTCTGGAGAGACCTGAAAATAGCTGTGCAGCGACGCTCGCCATCCAACCTGACAGAGCTTGAGAGGATCTGCAGAGAAGAATGGGAGAAACTCCACAAATACAGGTGTGCCAAGCTTGTAGCGTCATACCCAAGAAGACTCAAGGCTGTAATTGCTGCCAAAGGTGCTTCAACAAAGTACTGAGTAAAGGGTCGGAATACTTATGTAAATGTGATATTTCATAAATTTTTTGGCAAACATTTCTAAAAACCATTTTTTGCATTGTCATTATGGGGTATTGTGTGCAGATTGATGATGATATTTTTTTAATAAGGCTGTAACGTAACAAAATGTGGAAAAGGTCAAGGGGTCTGAATACTTTCCGAATGCACTGTAGATTTACTACTTAAAGACCAAAATGTATCACTTTTGTAACGAGCTGTCAAAAGGAAGACCAGAATTGACTTGTTTCACTATAACTACGCCTAATAAATCTGGTTTTCGATTATGTTTTTATTTTTTTCATAAAAGTTACTCTTTAAAAAAGTGTGATTTTGAGATCGATATACAGAAAAACGGAAACCAGGAAAAACTAAACTGAAAAAAATGAATTTGGGGGAAAAAACGGGATCAGGCAAAAAATTACAGATTTTATAGAGCCCTATGACTGGAGTAATTTTCTTTCTAAGTGAGTAGGTAAGATGTTTCTGAACACTTCTAAATTAATCCTGATAATGCCATGGTTAAGAAAAATCATGAATGAATCATGAATAATGACGAGTGAGATGCCGTTCAGAGGCTACAACAAAACATGCTAACCTCTCACCACTACCAATAACAGGCAAGGTTAGCATTTTGAGGGGTGGTATGATCTTTGTGCCTCTGTAACCTTCTCACTCATCATTATTCACGATTCATCATGACTATCCATAATCATGATAGCATCCACATGAATGTAGATGTGTTCAGAAACATCTTCTATCCTTACTTACAATAAAAGTGACTCACAAATGGCACAAGTCATTATTCACCATTCAGTTCCTATTGGGCAAAACATAATCCAAAACACAACCATAACAAACAGCAAATTCATCCAACAAGTTTGTAGAGTCACAAACTTGATGTAGTCATTGTGTGCAAGGAATATGGGACCAAATACTAAACTTTTGACTACATTAATAAACTAAGTGAATTTTTCCAAATACTTGACTTCTTCAAATGGGAAGACGAGAAATGAAAGCACTTTATGTGTCAAAACGGTAAAACAGATATGTATGAAAATAACCCTGAAATAAGAGCTGACATTATGTACTGGCACCTAATATGAAACATTCTATCTCAAATCTAAAATGCTGGAGTACCCCCCCCCAAAGAAATGTGCTTCACTGTCAAAATACATATGGAGGGGGGTGTACCTGCTGTAAGGGTTCTGCTTCAGCCAGAACAGGTTCTTCATCTGGATGGGTGCCTGGGCCACGGTCTCGTCACCCGGGGCCGGAGGGAAGTAGCAGCACTCAAAGGTCATGGTCAGGTGCTCGTGGGTCATGGTTCTACCCAGCTGGTCGGGTTCTATTGGACCCAACACCGTCTGGACCTTCCCACTCAGTGCTGACATGGTGAAATGGATGGGTGTCTGGGGTTTAGATCCTGCAGAATATAAGATTTTATAATTACTACATTACACATAACTTATTATTTATGAGCTATTCCAGTACTGGAAGAAAAAAAAACGTAGGAAAAAAGATGGCAGTCAGAGTGCAGTATAACTGCAGTATGCTGTAAATGCTGCGTCCAAAATAAGTATTTTTTTACTACAGTAATTTTGCAGAGTAACTACAGTTATTCTGCAATTACTGCATCCAAAATACCACAGTCGACTGTAGTTACTACACTTTTACGGCAGTTTCAAAACTGCAATCTTAAAAAAAAAAGGGAAATCCATTTGGTTGATGGATAGTTTTATGGATTGCTGGATTGATTGAGACCAACAGCAAAACACAGAGGTAGAAAGCAACTGTGCATGCATTTAGGCCACAACTCTTTCACATGAATATGTATGACTAGACAGGTGCCCATTTAAGCAGGGTTGCAATGTTCGTGATTTTCCGGTCAAATTGGGCTACTTTGAAAACGATGTCGCGGGTGAAAATGTATTGTTTGCAGGTTGTGGGTTTTGGGGCTAATTTAAAATGCACCGCAGCCGCCATGGCATTTCTCTTAAAAAATGTATATACACTACATTTACATTTACATTTTAGTCATTTAGCAGACTCTCTTATCCAGAGCGACTTACAGTTAGTGAGGGCATACATTTTTCATACTGGCCCCCCGTGGGAAACAAACCCACAACCCTGGCGTTGCAAGCGCCATGCTCTAACACCAGTCAAAAGTTTGGACACACCTACTCATTCAAGGGTTTTTCTTTATTTTTACTATTTTCTACATTGTAGAATAATAGTGAAGACATCAAAACTATGAAATAACACATATGTAATCATGTAGTAAACAAAAAAGTGTTAAACAAATAAAAATATATTTTATATTTGAGATTCTTCAAATAGCCACCCTTTGCCTTAATGACAGCTTTGCACACTCTTGGCATTCTCTCAACCAGCTTCATGAGGTAGTCACCTGGAATGCTTTTCCAACAGTCTTGAAGGAGTTCCTACATATGCTGACCACTTGTTGGCTGCTCTTCCTTCACTCTGCGGTCCGACTCATCCCAAACCATTGTGTTGAGGTTAGGGGATTGTGGAGGCCAGGTCATCTGATGCAGCACTCCATCACTCTCCTTCTTGTTCTTGGTAAAATAGCCCTTACACAGCCTGGAGGTGTGTTGGGTCATTGTCATGTTGAAAAACAAATGATAGTCCCACTATGCCCAAACCAGATGGGATGGCGTATCGCTGTAGAATGCTGTGGTAGCCATGCTGGTTAAGTGTGCCTTGAATTCTAAATAAATCACAGAAAGTGTCACCAGCAAAGCACCCCCACACCATAACACCACCTCTTCCATGCTTTACGGTGGGAAATACACATGCAGAGATCATCCGTTCACCCACACCGCGTCTCACAAAGACACAGCGGTTGGAACCAAAAATCTCAAATTTTGACTCCAGACCAAAGGACACATTTCCACTGGTCTAATGTCCATTGCTCGTGTTTCTTGGCCCAAGCAGGTCTCTTATTATTATTGGTGTCCTTTAGTAGTGGTTTCTTTGCAGCAATTCAACCATGAAGGCCTGTTTCACACAGTCTCCTCTGAACAGTTGATGTTGAGATGTGTCTGTGACTTGAACTCTGAGAAGCATTTATTTGGGCTGCAATTTCTGAGGCTGGTAACTCTAATGAACTTATCCTCTGCAGCAGAGTTAACTCTGGGTCTTCCATTTCTGTGGTGGTCCTCATGAGAGCCAGTTCCATCATAGCGCTTGATGGTTTTTGCGACTGCACTTGAAGAAACTTTCAAAGTTCTTGACATTTTCCGTACTGACTGACCTGATGGACTGTCGTTTCTCTTTGCTTATTTGAGCTGTTCTTGCCATAATATGGACTTGGTCTTTTACCAAATAGGGCTATCTTCTGTATACCCCCCCACCTTGTCAAAACACAACTGATTGGCTCAAATGCATTAAGAAGGAAAGAAATTACACAAATTAACTTTTAAGAAGGCACACCTGTTAATTGAAATGAATTCCAGGTGACTACCTCATGAAGCTGGTTGAGAGAATGCCAAGAGTGTGCAAAGCTGTCATCAAGGCAAAGGGTGGCTATTTTAAGTATATTTTGATTTGTTTAACACTTTATGGGTTACTACATGATTCCATATGTGTTATTTCATAGTTTTGATGTCTTCACTATTATTCTACAATGTAGAAAATAGTAAAAATAAAGAAAAACCCTGGAATGACTATCAGGAAGTGAGCAGGCTGTTACTGAGTAAGTGAGTTAGTGAGTGAGGAAGAGGAAAGGCTGGAGGGGTGTGTGTGTGTGTGTGTTAAGAGCATCTGTTGAGAGAGCACTGAGTCACAGAGACAGAGCAGTATGCACACACATCGTGACAACTTTTTACCAGTTGTTGGTAGGCTATTTAGATAGGTCATTATGGTATTTCCAACCCCTTTTCCATAAAACATATTAACGCGCTAGAACTGATATAACGGCGACAAAGTATTGGAAAACTAGAGCTCTTTAGATAAATTAGCTCAGAGGTGGTTTAAAGTAAACTGCATTCTAATGTCGACTTTTCCTTTGGAAAAGCGTATCAAGCGAAGGGTTTTACGCATGCTCAGTTCTAGTGTCTGGAGCACTGCACGAGTGGAAATTTGAAATGGAAGTTATAGAACTCCCTCGCATGCTACTGTTATGGGGAAAAAGTCCACAATGAAACTGACATTAAATGTGGAGAATGATACATTTGCATCTGTTGGTCATCATGTAGGCTATTAATTTCTATGCCATTGTAGGCTACTGTAGCCTCCCATTTGATCCAATAGATATGTTGAAATGAAGATATCACTGGAGTCATTGCAAATCAATTTGTGTAGCCTACATGGAGCTGGCAAACATATTTAATAAATAGCCAATAACTTCAGTTTGCTGTTGTAGCCTTGTGTATCTATGCAATTATTAATAGCCATGTTTAGTTAATTAAATTGGAAGTGATCAATTGTGATCATGGTCACAGCTCTATCGCCAATGTAACATTCTCCACATTTAATGTCAGTTTCATTGTGGACTTTTCCCTGAAATTAGATGTTGGCCTATCAGGGGCTATAGGCCACCTGCATCTACCTCAGCAAGCCATGGCAAAGTTGAATTGCAATTATAAACCTAGATTTTAGTCAGTAGCCTATGCTTATTGAAATAACAAATAAATCTCGCAAATAGGCCATTCATAACGGATTGTAGTCTTAACATCTGGCACATAATAATGCCACAATTGCCAGAAAATAGCCTAACATTCATTTTTTGAAGTTCGTCCAAGTGTTTCTTGCACAGAGATTGAGATCCTCTGTCGAACGTAGATCACTAAAACTCTCCTGTCAGATTTATATATAGTTATGCACATGCGCAAACAGGATTTATTTAAGCAATAAGGCCCGAGGAGGTGTGGTATATGGCCAATGTACCACGGCTAAGGGCTGTTCTTACGCACGACGCAATGCGGAGTGCCTGGACACAGCCCTTAGCCGTGGTATATTGGCCATATATCACAAACCCCCGAGGTGCCTTATTGCTATTATAAACTGGTTACCAACATAATTAGGGCAGTAAAGATAAATGTTTTGTCATACCCGTGGTATACAGTCTGATATACCACGGCTGTGAGCCAATCAGCACTCAGGGCTCGAACCACCCAGTTTATAATCACAATTGCCCTGAATGCTAATTGGTTGAAAGCCATGGTATATCAGACCGTGTACCACGGGAATTACCTAAAAAATATTTTTACTGTTCTAATTATGTTGGTAAACAGTTTATAATATCAATAAGGTACCGCATGGGTTTTTGGTATATGGACAATATACCTCAGCTAAGGGCTATGTCCTAAGAACAGCCCTTAGCTGTGGTATATTGGCCATATACCACACCTCCTCAGGCCTTATTGCTTAATCATAGCAGTCAAAACAAGTTATATCGGCATCCATTGATGGAAAATTATCTGGCGAGTTTAATAAGGGCGATTTATATTTTATCTTGCGACATATCTTACTCAGAATAATTATCATTTTAATGGAAAACCATATTTTGTTTCTTAGCCTATGTCGTTAAAAATGACGTCAACATTCGTTCTTAATTCGCTCTATATCATTATGGAAAAGGGGTTTATTGGATACATGTGGCAACTCCTCTCTTTCTGCGAAAAAAAAATTTGGTTTTGAGACGTCATTGGGCTAGAAATTGTATCTTGACCTGGCAACCCTGCACTGAAGAGACCTTTAGACCTATGGTTGTAAACAAGAGGTCAAGTGCCCCTATTTTAACTCACATGACCTGCTAGCTATAGTCTACTGCAGTCTCTGGTGCGAATAAATATCATTTAATTGTTCAATGTTCTTTTATCACAAAAATGATGCTGTCTTCAACCGTTTGTTTTACATTTTGTAGCACACTTATATGTATGTGATCTAAAATCATTTAACAGGCATTCAATTGAATGTAGTGACTGAGCCTAGCAAATACAGTGGGCTGAACCATTCAACTGCGATTTCTGAAAATGCAACAGCTATTCAGTTCATTGGTGAAAAATATGCATTCATTGTTCACGACACTACGATATATCAAAAAATATATAAGACCTGGAAATCTTGCTTCGACTCAGCAGTCCACCACGTTCCTCCCAACTTACAGAAAATAGAAATACCACTGCTAAGACCAGGAAGCAACAAGTCGTGCGATTAGGCAGTCCTAACTATCGCGAGAATTTGACTGACTCAAGGTGGCCTACTGTAACCCGCAGGAATGTATCGTACAATTTGATAATTTATCATAATGAGTAATGACATTAGGATACTCAGTGACTTTACTCATACAGTCATTTACATATTAATATAGTCTTCAAGAATATAGTACCACCATGTGTTTGAAGAACTGAGTATTCTTGCGAAATGCTACACACGATTTACAGTGCCTTCAGAAAGTAT